ATTACAGGTAGGCCAATATTTCTTTTCATGATCAGTCAGACTGTTCGTTTTAATTTACTATATTGAGAATGAATGCCTGACAGCGTGGGAGTCGTCTGTCAGTCAGAAACATGTTTTACATTCATCATTATGGTAAAGAAGTTTCATATCAGACTGATCATTAATGATCTTCGTGTTTGAAAAAGTCTAGTTTTTTTTTCTCAATTTAGAACTTAATAAATAATTTCCAGTATTCCTATGACAAAATAAAATACATTGTTTTTTATGAAATACAGAGTTCATTATCAAATTATTAGTCAAAAAATAAACAATTCAATATTAAATATTTTTGTCAGTAGAAATTGTCCTTTTGGTTTGAAGCAGACTTCAGGGTATTCTTCTTGTGCAGGTGTTTGTTATCAGGTAAAATAAAGAGATTAAACACTACTACTGTGTGTATTTTATTAGAAATAATACAGTTCATATTTGTGCAGACATAAACAGCTGTTTAAGTCGACTGACAGCTGAACGTGATCAGCTGATGTCATCCCAAACTGACCTCGCTTCATGTGACGCTACAGAAGAAAGGACGTCTCATGTCTCTTATAACATATCTCCTCATCCTTTTCCTCTCTCCTCTGCTTCGTTTCCTTGTATCTCTCCATGCATCTCTGGTGGGAGGGACTAAGACGCAAGTGGAGGAGGCAAGTGGAGGACACCTGCATGCAATTAAGGGAACTGGATGTACCCTCAGAGTGCACTCACCTCTTCAGATTTAATTGATTGCCAGGCCAAAGCCCTCTCCATGTAAGCAGTTGCAATTTTGTAGTGATTGCCAAAATGTTCCTGTAAGAGACCTTTTACCACTGTATAGCCACGTTCAGGGTCCATATAAAGGCAGCTATGCACCAACTCTCGTGGCTGTCCTCTGGTAAACTGCTCCAAATAATAAAGACAATCAGCCTTACTTGCCTTTACTTCCACTCCTTGCTCAAAGGCCTTTACAAATGTTCTGTATTTGAGAGGGTCTCCTTCAAACGTGGGAATATCTCGTGGCGGTAGAGATAAGGAAAGCTGTCGCTGCACCAGAGCCGCTGTTATGTCGTTTTGCCTGTGCACGATGTTAAGTATGTCACCAGTAGGAGAGTTTTGACTCATTGTCTGTTGTCTTCCTGTAGATTGCCTTGGTCCATCATTTGATTGAGCAACCATAGGCTGGCATTGCACATGCAGTGATGTTGCCGGTATGTTATTTCCCTGTTGCTGTTCATTTCTGTCCAGTGAGTGAGTTTGTTGTGAAGGTTTCAATGCAGGCTTGTACTTTGCCATGGGGATTAAGGCAATGGCTGGTTCTGCCTTCTCCTTTTCCCTTTCAAAATAAGAAAATGCTTCGGGTCCAACGATGACTGCAGGCGAAATCCTCACAGCTCCCCGATCCTTCCGAAGCCTGAAAACATCCACCACCAGGTAACGATAGCCGAAACTGCGCTTTGCTACCGGTAGCTCTCCCAGTCCTCATGTGCCTCCTCCTTAGCGTGCCAAACGCGCCGAAGGCTTTTCAAACTAAGTTCCAACTGGCAAGGTTTTTGACAATTGGTCTTTGTCAGACACGTACGGAAGCGTATTGCATTCATGTGGGGATTTCTCCAGGTTTCTTGTTATTACGAGATAAAGATCTCGTTATTACGATATAAAGATCTTGTTATTACGATATAAAGATCTTGTTATAACGAAAAAAACAAAAACATTACAAAGACTAAAAAGATACTCGCGAAGTTAATGAAGTTTGCATTGTGGCAGGCAGAGAAGGGAGGAAGATCAAAAGGCAACGATGACGGTTGATGATGGTTATTGATTTGATTGTGTTTTATTTTCATCTTGGTTTAAGGCATTGGGTAATATTATCATCTTTGAGTAATACAGATGGTATTCTCATGAGCTTGTCGACTTAGCGCAGGCATCTGAAGGCGTTGTTCAGACGGAAAGCAAAGCACACTCTGACCTACTTGTTATAACGAGATCTTTATCTCGTTAATAACGAGATCTTTTCTCGTTATAACGAGATCTTTACCTCGTAATAACGAGATCTTTACCTCGTTATAACGAGATCTTTACCTCGTAATAACGAGATCTTTACCTCGTAATAACGAGATCTTTTCTCGTTATAATGAGATGATAACGAGATCTTTATCTTGTAATAACGAGATCTTTACCTCGTAATAACGAGATCTTTTTTCGTTATAACGAGATGATAACGAGATCTTTATCTCGTAATAACGATATCTTTACCTCGTAATAACGAGATCTTTACCTAGTAATAACGAGATCGTTACCTCGTTATAACGAGATCTTTACCTCGTAATAACGAGATCTTTTCTCGTTATAACGAGATGATAACGAGATCTTTATCTCGTAATAACGAGATCTTTTCTAGTTCAAGAAACCAGGCCAAAAAAAAATTCCCCACATGAATGCAATACGCTTCCGTAGACACATGACTTTTTTAGACGCTTAGTCCAATACTAAAGCTGCCGATGTGTAGCCTAGGTGATGTGTCTGTCATAGGCTATGTAGGTCAATATGATACTGTTTGCTGTATGTTGTTTCAAAAACATTTCTGCAGGCGTGTCTTTGTTTTGCAGCATAATACAATCCGTTTTATTGCAGCACCATGCGAAGTGAATACAGCGTCCATCAGTTTCCATCCATTGAACAAAACAAACAAACAAACAAACAAACAATACAGCTGTGGTTTCTCCATGCTGCCTGCCGCCACAGCGGTCAAAAACCACATGCCCTTCCGGGGTCAAACACATCCCGCACCTTGACAAGTGACGTACCTATATACCTGTGCCCTAAGCAATAGGACAGCGACACCCAGTGGCACAATAATGAATATGTTTTACAGCTTGACCCAAAAACACGAATATGGCTCTTACTGTTTGTGTTGTTGTTATTTGGGTTGTTGATGTTTTTGAGGCCGACAGACAGGAGGTCTCACTATGTCTCTGTTGTTGTGGATCAAAAACTCCGTCCAACTTTTTTTAAAGTCTCAAACCTGACGAACAGGTCAAACAGACTTCAATCGGCATCTTTCGGGTTTTTATATTCTAATACAAATAAAACGAAAACAAACATTAAATTTCATGTCTTAAACAGACATGAAAAATACCTCACCTCACCTCAACGTGGAAATCCACATGAATTATTCATAAACATTTTTTTTGCTAATTTTAAGGCAGTGGTTCTCGACTGGTTGATTTTCAGGACCAAACGCCGACTGATATTTTTCAACCAATCAGATTAATTTTATGTTTAATGTTGCTGTTTGGACGTCAGACAGTAGAAAAACTTGACAGAACAAAGCTCTTCACGGACTTCTTGACACGTTTTTTTCCCCAGGCAATAATTCCCAAACCCAAGAGAGGAATTTCCTGACCAATTTTTGGGTCCCGACCCACAAGTTGAAACCGCTGTTCTGAAGGAACTGAAGGTTGAAGTCTAGCATGCAGTGTTTTAGGAGTATTGAAGTCTTTGGTCTGAGAGTGTGACATGAAGCAAAACGATAATGAAATAAATGTTAAATTGAAATACACTAAATATGATATATTGAATAAGCTTTAAAAACAAAGTTAAACCGCAGAAATATAAAACATATCAAATGTTGTGAGAGGACATTAAACATGACAGAATACAGATAATTTGTATTCAGAAACATAAAAAAATCATAAAATATTTCATGGTGGATGTTGGTCGTGAATGTAGACGATCTTTGGCTGTCTTACCTACGTCATGACGCAGCTGCTCCAGCTGGACGTCGGTGTGCTCGGTCAGTAGTTGTGGTTAGCTCGGAGCAGCGGGCAGCTCTTGGAGCTACGGAGCGATTTAACGTCTTAAAAACATGTTTTTTAATGAACATTTGCCGTAAGAACCGACAGCAGGAGCGGTTCTCCTTAAAGGAACAAACGGGGGGAAATAATTGAGCCGCTTTCAGGAGTTTATTTTGGTCCTGCGAGCAGAGACGGAGAGATCTCCTCCTTCAGGTGAGTCTGAGCCTCGGCCTGTCTGTTAGCTTCTAATGCTAAAAGTCTCAGAGTCTGTGAGCAGTCACATCGACACACACTACCTTTAATACGAGACACTTGACATTTCAAAGATGGTCAACACATGTGTGTTTGATAGCTGCAATTGCTGGCCAGGTTAGCCAGGTGTATGCTGGTTTCAGACGACGGTTGTTAGCAGCATGCTAGTGAGTGCTGAGGCTAGTAAAGTTTGTGCTGCTAGGTTTTAATTAGCTCCGTTAGATTTTCAGCTCCTATTCTGTTCTGTTAATACCCACAGACTGAAGAGGAGCTAATGCTACATGCGAACTGACATCAGCTGTCAGACTGATGCAGAGGCCTGTTTAATCAGCAGAAGCTAAGCTAGCTGAGCTGTTAGCTTCAGACTGCAGACTCAGCACTATCAGTTGAACCGCAGATTAGCGGGTTGCCTCTGACTGTGTCCAGGACTAGTTAACTGACTGACTGTGCAGAGGACTAGTTAACTGACTGACTGTGCAGAGGACTAGTTAACTGACTGACTGTGCAGAGGACTAGTTAACTGACTGACTGTGCAGAGGACTAGTTAACTGCCTGATTGTGTGGAGGACTAGTTAACTGACTGACTGTGCGGAGGACTAGTTAACTGACTGACTGTGTCCAGGACTAGTTAACTGACTGACTGTGCGGAGGACTAGTTAACTGACTGACTGTGTGGAGGACTAGTTAACTGACTGACTGTGTGGAGGACTAGTTAACTGCCTGATTGTGTGGAGGACTAGTTAACTGACTGACTGTGCGGAGGACTAGTTAACTGACTGACTGTGTCCAGGACTAGTTAACTGACTGACTGTGCGGAGGACTAGTTAACTGACTGACTGTGCAGAGGACTAGTTAACTGACTGACTGTGCAGAGGACTAGTTAACTGACTGACTGTGCAGAGGACTAGTTAACTGCCTGATTGTGTGGAGGACTAGTTAACTGACTGACTGTGCGGAGGACTAGTTAACTGACTGACTGTGTCCAGGACTAGTTAACTGACTGACTGTGCGGAGGACTAGTTAACTGACTGACTGTGCGGAGGACTAGTTAACTGCCTGATTGTGTGGAGGACTAGTTAACTGACTGACTGTGTGGAGGACTAGTTAACTGACTGACTGTGTGGAGGACTAGTTAACTGACTGACTGTGCGGAGGACTAGTTAACTGACTGACTGTGTGGAAGACTAGTTAACTGAATGACTGTGTAGAGGACTAGTTAACTGACTGACTGTGTGGAAGACTAGTTAACTGAATGACTGTGTGGAGGACTAGTTAACTGACTGACTGTGCGGAGGACTAGTTAACTGACTGACTGTGCGGAAGACTAGTTAACTGACTGACTGTGCGGAGGACTAGTTAACTGACTGACTGTGTGGAGGACTAGTTAACTGACTGACTGTGTGGAAGACTAGTTAACTGAATGACTGTGTAGAGGACTAGTTAACTGACTGACTGTGTGGAAGACTAGTTAACTGACTGACTGTGCGGAAGACTAGTTAACTGACTGACTGTGTGGAGGACTAGTTAACTGACTGACTGTGTGGAGGACTAGTTAACTGACTGACTGTGTGGAAGACTAGTTAACTGAATGACTGTGTAGAGGACTAGTTAACTGACTGACTGTGTGGAAGACTAGTTAACTAGTTGCAGAGGACTAGTTAACTGCCTGACTGTGTGGAGGACTAGTTAACTGACTGACTGTGCGGAGGACTAGTTAACTGACTGACTGTGCGGAGGACTAGTTAACTGACTGACTGTGCGGAGGACTAGTTAACTGACTGACTGTGTGGAGGACTAGTTAACTGACTGACTGTGTGGAAGACTAGTTAACTGAATGACTGTGTGGAGGACTAGTTAACTGAATGACTGTGTGGAGGACTAGTTAACTGACTGACTGTGCGGAGGACTAGTTAACTGACTGACTGTGTGGAGGACTAGTTAACTGAATGACTGTGTGGAAGACTAGTTAACTGACTGACTGTGTGGAGGACTAGTTAACTGAATGACTGTGTGGAGGACTAGTTAACTGACTGACTGTGTGGAGGACTAGTTAACTGACTGACTGTGTGGAGGACTAGTTAACTGAATGACTGTGTGGAGGACTAGTTAACTGACTGACTGTGTGGAGGACTAGTTAACTGACTGACTGTGTGGAGGACTAGTTAACTGAATGACTGTGTGGAAGACTAGTTAACTGACTGACTGCGTGGAAGACTAGTTAACTGACTGACTGTGTCCAGGACTAGTTAACTGACTGACTGTGTGGAGGACTAGTTAACTGAATGACTGTGTGGAGGACTAGTTAACTGAATGACTGTGTGGAAGACTAGTTAACTGACTGACTGTGTGGAGGACTAGTTAACTGACTGACTGTGTGGAAGACTAGTTAACTGACTGACTGTGTGGAAGACTAGTTAACTGACTGACTGTGTGGAAGACTAGTTAACTGAATGACTGTGTGGAGGACTAGTTAACTGACTGACTGTGTGGAAGACTAGTTAACTGACTGACTGTGTCCAGGACTAGTTAACTGACTGACTGTGTGGAGGACTAGTTAACTGACTGACTGTGTGGAGGACTAGTTAACTGAATGACTGTGTGGAAGACTAGTTAACTGACTGACTGTGTGGAAGACTAGTTAACTGAATGACTGTGTGGAGGACTAGTTAACTGACTGACTGTGTGGAGGACTAGTTAACTGAATGACTGTGTGGAAGACTAGTTAACTGACTGACTGTGTGGAGGACTAGTTAACTGACTGACTGTGTGGAGGACTAGTCAGTTGACTAACATTCGGGTAAGTATGCTGTTTGTGTTTGAGTGTGAAGTAGGCAGTATTAAGGATGTGACACCTGAAGCTTTGTCTGTTACACATGAATTAATGTGAATGTGTATGTTCCTACAGTGTGTCCTGAGGGGGAGGAGCCAGAAGACAGATGCTTCTTCTAATGTGGGAGGAGTCACAGTGAACATCTGAGAGATGTGAAGTTAAAGGACCAGAGGAGCTGTAAGTCAGACCAAGACCACGCCTCAAGCAGCATCAGCAGCCAATCAGCATCAGTGTGGAGGTAAACTAGCTTTTCATCATAGAGCAGACCCAAAGGCACACACTCTGACATCTACTACAACTCCCAGGATGCATTTTATCAACACTCATCCAATCACAATGCTTTTTTTATTTGGCTACGTCTAAGGTCCCTTTTGTTGCATCCATCATCCCTTTCTTGGGTCTTAGCTCCTCCAACCAGAGAAGCATGGAAAGATGCTAGGAAAGAAGCAAAGGAGAGAGGGAAAAAGGAAAATGTTTTAAGAGTTTGTGATGATGACATCAGCTGATTCCCGCTCAGCTGTCAGTGTCTTTGAAAGTTTATTGACATGATGATTATTAACAAAAATGTAAGTGAAACTGCTCTCAGCTGCTGTGAAGTCAAAACAAACTTTCAGTTCAAGTTTTAGCTGCTGGAGACTGGGAACAATTTGGATTACACAACCTGCACTCAGAGTGGCTAATCACAGCCAGAAACATTGTTATATAAACACACAGAACCGTGTGTGTGTGTGTGTGTGTGTGTGTGTGTGTGTGTGTGTGTGTGTGTGTGTGTGTGTGTGTGTGTGTGTGTGTGTGTGTGTGTGTGTGTGTGTGTGTGTGTGTGTGTGTGTGTGTGTGTGTGTGTGTGTGTGTGTGTGTGTGTGTGTGTGTGTGTGTGTGTGTGTGTGTGTGTGTGTGTGTGTGTGTGTGTGTGTGTGTGTGTGTGTGTGTGTGTGTGTGTGTGTGTGTGTGTGTGTGTGTGTGTGTGTGTGTGTGTGTGTGTGTGTGTGTGTGTGTGTGTGTGTGTCCGTCGTCGTCGTCCGTCGTCGTCGTCCGTCCGTCCGTCCGTCCAATAAAGTCCATTAAGTGTTGTGACACTTGCTAAATGCTAACCTGTCCTCAACAACATGCTAATGTTAGCATTTTAAAGCTCACCTAGCATGCAAATCAAGAGTCCAGGCGCATTAAGGCAACAAGTGTCTTAATTAAAAATAACCTGTTGATTTAATTTCTCTCTCTCTTTCTCAGGACCATCATGCACCTGAAGTCGTGTCCAAAGCTTGTGCGTTCAGAGTTACGTTTGGATGCGTCTGGTGTTCAGCATAGCAGTCTGTTTGTGAGCCAACAGGGGGCGCTTCTAAGGACATACAGCAGTAACCATGGCAACAGCAACCGCCTCCCACTCAACGTCATTTCCACCAACACACTGCGCTGCAGCAACACGAACAACCACAGCGTCAGCACCAGTGTGTCTTCACTGCGGCTCAAAGTGTCCCCCAGCACCCCCCTGCAACTCCTCCCACCACTGGCGTGCTTGGAGAACGACACGTCCAGACTGTACCAGACCACGCCAGAGGTCACAGAGCCCTCGCTGGACATCTGGACGGTCATTAAGCCTGGGCATGTCCGTGAGAAGATCGCGATCTTTGCTTCAGATGGACACAGAACAGACAGTGCTGGTGGAAGTGAATGCACGTCGACCAGCAGCTCTGACAGCGGGGACAGGACGCCATCAGTGAGCCACGCTCCCTCCTCAGGGCTGCTTCGGGCACTTAAGGCGAAGGGTAGCTGGGAGGAAAACAGCAGTGCCAAACGACGCCGCAGGTCCGGAAACAACACCAACACCCAGCAGGGCAAGAGGACCCGGGTCCCAAACGCGGAGCAACCTGCCCTCAAAACAACTCCATGGCAACCAGACTTGAATCAGCAATTGAGTGTTGGGCGGCGGGTGGTCGAGGCGGTGTCGGAGGTGGAGGAGCAGAAGGTGTCGGTGGGGGAGATGGTGGCGTTTCTGGAGCAGAGAGCCAGCGAGCAGCAGCCAGACTCCAAACCTGTGCTCGCCCTCCAGAGGAGCTCTGCCTCTATCACACTGTCCAGAGCTCCGCCCCCTGAGTTTGGGGATAGCTCAGAGGTTAGAGGGGAGGAGCCAGAGAGTGTCAAGGTGTCAGACATGGTGGCAAAGCTGGAATCAGAGTGTCTGAAGAGGAGGACGGAGGGAGATCTATCGAGAAGCAACAGCTTGAGGAGGACGGTGGGTCGTGTTCTTCTCACCACTGGGGACCAGAGTGAGCCTGCATCACCATCATCAGTGAGATCGTCATTGACATCCTCATCCTCGTCCTCATCCTTGTCCTGGGCTCAGCCTATCTGCAGGGAGCCAATCAGCTGCTCTGAAACATCACCTGCCTCAGCTCTGACCCCACCCTCCCCTTCTTGCCAGGCCACGCCCCCTCCAGGTGAGACTGGACTGGAAGCTCAGACAGAGTCAGACACTCAAAGAGTAGCCCTCACACAGACCACACCACCTTGGTGTGAGGAGGCGGAGCCTCTGCCTGGATTGTTGTTTTTGTCTGCTGCTGCCTCAGAGACATGCCCCCCCCAAGACTTAGCCCCTTCCCCCCCCGACTCAGAGCCCCAGCCCACTCGCTGTAGAATGACATGTGAATTTGAGCCCCGCCCCCTTGCTCCTAGCTCTGACTCTAGCAGCCAATCAGAGAGGCGGAGGATGAGGCCGTCTGAGAGTGTTCAGGAGGAGCAAGTTGTCACTTTGACTTCCTGTTATTCCGTGGTGGTTCCTTTGGGCCGCCGTGTGTGTGTTTCGCACGACTTCCTGTTGATGCGTCAGCGTCTGCAGCAGCTGCTCGAGCCGCAGCCGTACCTGTCGGTGCTGCCACATCATTTACTGGTCAAGATCTTCCTGCTGCTGCCCACACAGAGCCTCGCCGCACTCAAGTGCACCTGCCACTACTTTCACTTCATCATTGAGACATATGGCGTGCGGCCCTCCGACTCGCTCTGGGTTTCTGACCCACGTTACCGTGACGACCCTTGCAAGCAATGCAAAAAGCGATACGGCCGCGGCGACGTGTCGCTGTGCCGCTGGCACCACAAGCCGTACTGTCAGGCGCTGCCCTACGGCCCCGGATACTGGATGTGTTGCCATGGCTCCCACAGAGACGCGCCTGGCTGCAATGTTGGACTCCATGACAACCGCTGGGTGCCTGCGTTCCACAGCATAAACGTGCCGATCTACAGGAGGAGTTGTCTCGACAACTGAGACTGTGTATGTGTGTGTGTGTGTGTGTGTCTCTAAAGCTCCAACATGAATTAAATCAGACAAAGAAGATTCTGATTCAAATGAAACTTTATTAGCATCACATTTAAACATTGACCTGAGTGGCTCTCAGTGTGGCGCCCCCTGCTGCTCAGCCTCTGTCACTGTGCTCATATGACCAGATGATCTTTAGTTTAATGTCTAAGCTTCCTGTCGCTCGCTCTCCTTTAATCAGCTGTTTACTGGGGGGGGGGGTCCCGGCCAGGACTCGTCTTCTTCTCTGACAGGCTGCCATCATCGCTGCGAGTTCTGTTGCTGTGATATCCTTAGTAACAGATCATCAATGACGTTTGTGTACCTGTGAGGAGGCGGGGCTTCAGTGGGTACTGTGTGTGGAGCATTATGATTGGATGTTAGTTGAGCTCCGTGGCACCTTGCTTGTGTTTACATTTGTACATAAGAGTTTATGAGTGAGAGTGACTTTATTGGATGGTTCTAAAGAGGAGACGAGGCCTTCAGCAAGGAGACAAGGAGACAAGGCCTTCAACAAGGAGAAGATGCAATAAACTGACAGAGATTTTTTAAAAAATCCGGGGAGAAAAGGAAAAAGCATTTGACCTTTTTAGAATTTTTTTTTTTTTTAAGGTTTGTTGGTTCTGTTTTTGGGCTGTTTCTGTTGGTGGTGTTGCTTTAATAAAGTGCTTTATCTTTGACTCGTCTTTGTTTCTCTTCAGGTTGTTGTCCTGATAATTTGACTTGTCAGCAGATAATCCTCACTGCACTTTTTACTTCTCGATAATAATAATAATCTGTTTTATAACTTCCTCACCCATAATCAGTCAGTGAGTTAGCTGTGACAACGGGACATTAAAGTATTAAGTATTTGAAATATTTGTAAAAATCAAATAACTTTATTCAATATTTCATGTATTGATCTTTCTTTTCATTTCTCAGCATCACTGTGGCATGCAGGGCTAGTGTGATGTCACGATGACCCTGTAAAATCAAGCTGTGAGGTCACAACATCATGCTTGACCCTGTGAAACCATGTCTTGATGTCATGTCGTCGACCCTGTAAATCGACCCTGTGACCTCATGCTGTGATGTCATGATGACCCTGCATCCTCTGACAGCGTGTCGAGCAGCTGGTAGTAGTTGTACTTGATGTCGTACTCCATGTCGTACCAGAAGTTCACTGCAGCAGAAAAACAAAGGTTACATGTGTCAAGATGTGTGACAGTGAACGCAGCGCTCTGACTCAGAAACTCCTAATCTGATCTTTAAATGCATCATGCAGACCTGGTGCTGCGTTCAGGTGCTCGTACCTGCGATGCAGCCATGTGACTGCTGGACGTGGTGGAACCAAAGTGATGGGAGATACAGCATCTCTCCAGCCTTCACGCTGAAGCTGATTGGATGAGCTCTGATGTACTGAGGATACCTGTCAAGGTCCGGGTCCAGAGGGTCCAGAGGGATCCATGGAACCTTGGAGGGGAGGGGGCAGAGTCAGGGTTAGTACAGCAGAGAGCGCTGAGATGACCACACGGACACCTGAACGCACCTTTTTGGAGTCACTCTGATCGATAACCTTGAAGTCACCGTCGTCTGTTTGATGGTACACAGCAGGCTGATACATACCTGACACACACATCGGACAAATTAACATGGTGACAAACCAATCTTCAGGCTAGTTGCTATGGTTACTCTAACAGATGGAATTAGGTTGTCATAGGCCTTTGGGTTGTTGCTATGGTTACCGTAAGGGATGAAAGGACGGTCTGTGGGTGGCAGCAGGATGAAGTTTTTCTCTCCAGAAATCACACAGTAGAGATTCTCATAGTGATCTTTGTGCACTGACGCACACACACACATTAACAACTTTCCCTAACACCCCACCATTAACAGACTCAACTTTTCAAAAACAGTAACAGTATCTGGGATGTGTTCAGGTCTTACTGGACGTTACAGCGCTCGCCTCCCCAAGCCAAAAGTTGACAGCATCAGGTAACTTTCCTAGGAAGAACAAATAACTTTGACTTTACTGATTGATTAATATATGTTTATATTATGATGTAAAGAGATGGGACGTCTCTCAGCACACCCTGACACCGTCCGGTCTGAGCATGCTCTGTAAGGAGGACTCACCGAGCGCCGTGCTCATCCAGGGAACGTGAGGCTCCAGGTCGTCTGTGAGCTCAGGCAGCTCGTCGAGAAGGTTTGAACACTGTTTCTGTACATACAACACACCGCGCTGCTGCACCTGAAACACACACACACACACATCAACACACCACGCTGCTGCACCTGAAACACACACACACACACATCAACACACCGCAGTGCTGCACCTGAAACACACACACACACACATCAACACACTGTGCTGCTGCACCTGAAACACACACACACACACATCAACACACCGCGCTGCTGCACCTGGAACACACACACACATCAACACACCGCGCTGCTGCACCTGGAACACACACACTGTATACACACTGTACCGATGCAGTACTGCAGTCGTCCTGGGGGTATCAGCTCACCTTTCCCTGGATTACGTCGAGCACAGCAGAGAAAGTCATCTTCCTCTCCTCTGGCATGACGAATCGATCACCGCTTACTGCATCTGCGTAACCATTAGGAGTCACAGACACACTGATGACCTTTGACCCCACCTTCTCTCTGCACACAGGAAACACTTGATCATACCTCTTTACAAAAAAAAACATCCACCACAGAAGAAGAAGAGGTGCAGGTGTGTGGGCGGGGTTTCCTCACCTGAGGTATTCTGGAGTCCACCTGTTCAGAGCTGGCCAATGGCTGAAGGCATTGCGGATGATGACAGGTTTGTTAGGAGCAATCCAATCCCTGAAGAAGAGCAGCGGTTCAGGTGACCCATCCAGGTATGGCACGGAGCTGTTCAGGTAGAGTTCTGACAATCATCATTAATTAATAATGAATCTGCTAGTTGATACAATACAAACACCTGAGTCACTGTGGCAACTGACAGAATAGTGTTTATCATATCAATCACACACACGTGACGGTTGTGGCTCAGTTGTAGAGTCAGTTGTCTCTCAGCCCCTGCAGACATGGACTCTTTACACAGCAGCCTCTACCATCAGTGTGTGAATGTGTATGAATGGATGAGTTAATACTGATGGACTCTTTACTCAGCAGCCTCTAACATTAGGTTAAATGTTACTTTGTGTGTTGTATCCCAGAGTGAAAAACATAAATTAATAAAAGCTAACTCAGTGATGTGTGTATAGTGTTGTTTATTAGGTATTGTGTATTGTGTTTATTATGTGTTGTGTTTTTTGTATGTATTGTGTTGTGTGTGGCTCACCGTGAGCCTCCAGAGAAAACTCAGTCAGACGTTTCTTCACGGACTCCATTTCTTTTTTACGTCATCAGAATAACCTTGGTGTGATGACGTCACAGAGACGATCAGTGATCAGCTCCACTTTGATCGATAATTGTTCGATTATCTGAACCTCACGGTGCCATGCTGCTGTGTTTACGGCCCGTGTGCATGCGCAGGGTTCTTCTCTAGTTTAATGGCGGATCACAACCAACATGTAAAGGTGTATATCGCCACCTACTGTATCGGAATGTGTAACATCAGGGCTAAATACACTTCAGGTTACATTCTAAATAACACCACCCCTCCCAAACAAATCCCACCTACCCCCTCAAAAATAATAATAATAATAAATGATATCTTACAATCTAAACCTGAATCCTTCAGAAAAATAAAGAGAGCCTTGTAGCTTTCCCTGCTAAGCCTGTAGTAACGACTGTAAAGAAATGGACGAGTCAAAAACAGGAGTGACAGGCCTGCTTTGACTGCACTGAATGGAGTGCTGCATCAGCAAACCTCAATGTACTCACTGACACTGTGACATCCTACATCAGCTTCTGCATGGACATGTGTGTGCAGACCAGGGGATTTGGGGTTAGAGGTCACTTCAGGGTTAACGCTAGGTGGTTAGGTGGTTCACTTGTTACCTGGGTATATCGCCGTGGTAACCCATGCTGCACACCTAACTTGCTCCAGGTTATGTTGGAGATAAGAGATCAACCTGTGGAAGTCTCAGCCCACTGACCAATTAGATGTCTTGATGGTGGAGGGAGTCACAAGCTACAGGAGACCCACCCCCCAACCTGTAGGTAACAACAGACTGGCTGAAGACCTGAACAGCTTTTACTGCAGGTTTTCACCTGGAGCTGAACCCACTCAAGACTGTGGAGATGACAGTGAACTTCAGGAGAAGCCCCCCTTCCCTCCATCATCCAGTTTGTCCTCTACACCTCCATCATCCAGTCTATCCTCTACACCTCCATCATCCAGTCTGTCCTCTACACCTCCATCATCCAGTCTGTTCTCTACACCTCCATCATCCAGTCTGTTCTCTACACCTCCATCACCCAGTCTGTTCTCTACACCTCCATCATCCAGTCTGTTCTCTACACCTCCATCACCCAGTCTGTTCTCTACACCTCCATCATCCAGTCTGTTCTCTACACCTCCATCACCCAGTCTGTCCTTTACACCTCCATCATCCAGTCTGTCCTCTACACCTCCATCACCCAGTCTGTCCTTTACACCTCCATCATCCAGTCTTTTCTCTACACCTCCATCACCCAGTCTGTCCTTTACACCTCCATCACCCAGTCTGTCCTTTACACCTCCATCATCCAGTCTGTCCTCTACACCTCCATCATCCAGTCTGTCCTTTACACCTCCATCATCCAGTCTTTTCTCTACACCTCCATCACCCAGTCTGTCCTTTACACCTCCATCATCCAGTCTGTCCTTTACACCTCCATCATCCAGTCTTTTCTCTACACCTCCATCATCCAGTCTGTCCTCTACACCTCCATCACCCGGTCTGTCCTTTACACCTCCATCATCCAGTGTGTCCTCTACACCTCTATCATCCAGTCTGTCCTCTACACCTCCATCATCCAGTCTGTCCTCCATACCTCCATCATCCAGTCTGTCCTCTACACCTCCATCATCCAGTCTTTTCTCTACACCTCTATCATCCAGTCTGTCCTCCATACCTCCATCATCCAGTCTGTCCTCTACACCTCCATCATCCAGTCTGTCCTCTACACCTCCATCATCCAGTCTGTCCTCTACACCTCCATCATCCAGTCTTTTCTCTACACCTCCATCATCCGGTCTGTCCTTTACACCTCTATCATCCAGTCTGTCCTCTACACCTCCATCATCCAGTCTTTTCTCTACACCTCCATCATCCAGTCTGTCCTCCATACCTCCATCATCCAGTCTGTCCTCTACACCTCCATCATCCAGTCTTTTCTCTACACCTCCATCATCCAGTCTGTCCTCCATACCTCCATCACCCAGTCTGTCCTCTACACCTCCATCATCCAGTCTTTTCTCTACACCTCCATCATCCGGTCTGTCCTTTACACCTCTATCATCCAGTCTGTCCTCTACACCTTCATCATCCAGTCTGTCTTCCATACCTCCATCATCCAGTCTGTCCTCTACACCTTCATTATCCAGTCTGTCCTCCATACCTCCATCATCCAGTCTGTCCTCTACACCTTCATCATCCAGTCTGTCCTCCATACCTCCATCATCCAGTCTGTCCTCTACACCTTCATCATCCAGTCTGTCCTCTACACCTTCATCATCCAGTCTATCCTCTACACCTTCATCATCCAGTCTATCCTCTACACCTTCATCATCCAGTCTATCCTCTACACCTTCATCATCCAGTCTATCCTCTACACCTTCATCATCCAGTCTGTCCTGGACTGGATGATGGAGCCTTAACTGGACTCAGATTCACCTCCTGAGGTAAGATGGGATGTAGAAGTAGCGGATGAAGCAGAAATACACCTGCTGTCAATCACAGAGAAAGGGGGGAGAGAGAGATTTCATATTTCATTGATTAACAGAAAATAAAAAATGTTTTATTTTGATCATAAACATGTCATGTTGCCATAGCAGCTTGTTTGTCTAGTGTTTTTGTTTATAGAATGAATGTTTGTTTATCAGTTTGAACCATAAACAGTCTATGGTGGAAACATGGTGTAGTTAGCACCAGAGAGCTAACAGGAGCTATCAGTCAAACTACACAGAGAGATTAGAGCACTCTGATGGAGGTCTTGATGAGTCAGGATTGGATGCAGCTGTGCAGCTCTCTACCTGGAATCAGGTCCTGGAAAGTCCTGGATCAGGCTTGGAGGTTGTTGGATCATGGATGAGTCTGCGTTGGAGCGATACTTTGATGACTCGATTGCAGATGTGAGTAAAAAGATTTCAAAAGTTTATTAGAACACAGTGATGTACAATTCTCCCACAGTCACGTAACATTATTTAGTCTGATCATGTATTTGTAACAGATGCATCACTCTGTGACAGAAACAGAAACCAAACTAGGAACTGTTTGATTGAGGATCATCTGAGGATGTTAGAGGCTGTTAGAAAGATGTTTCTGCTGCCCGTAGAAAGTGAACGCTTGTTATGTTCACAGATGATGTGGCAGCTCTGAACCTCTCCAACATAGGACAGTATTTTATAGGACAGTATTTTATAGGACAGTACTTTATAGGACAGTACTTTATGGGACAGTACTTTATGGGACAGTACTTTATAGGACAGTATTTTATAGGACAGTACTTTATAGGATAGTACTTTATAGGACAGTACTTTATGGGACAGTACTTTATAGGACAGTACATTTTAGGATAGTACTTTATGGGACAGTACTTTATGGGACAGTACTTTATAGGACAGTACATTTTAGGATAGTACTTTATGGGACAGTACTTTATAGGACAGTACATTTTAGGGTAGTACTTTATGGGACAGTACTTTATGGGACAGTACTTTTTAGGATAGTACTTTATTGGTCCTCCAACATGTCACTTTATACACGAATAGAACATAACGTGTCATATATAGTCTGACATAAAGTGTCAGTCATGATTAATAATGTTCTTCACATTAAATCATAAAGAGCTCTTTGTGTCCTCCTGCAGGACTCCAGCTTCATTTTGGGGGAGGGGCTGGGCATTCAAAGCCACGCCCACCCCACCCAAGGCTCCACCCCCTCCCTTTCAATGAAGGCTGGTTCAGGCACAGAGCCAGGCGATGATTTGGACCTCAGCTTCCTGCTGATGACCTCAGCTCGCAGGTAGAGCCTGGTCGTCATAACATGGGTATGACATCACTGATGTAACGTTTTTTAATAAACTTTATTGAAACAAACGTGAGCTAAAACAATTTACAACAGTACTTGTTAATGATGTGCAATACTCCAGCACTGAGACACTTGACCTCCCTTAGAAGCACCTTGAACTCTGATGGTCATTTTGTACTGGTTCACTCTGAATCCAACAGCCACTCTTTACTCTGGTATGTGTCTCTGTTAACTCATGTTCACAGTTGAATAATAATAATAATATGTGTTTGTGTCAGCTGACAGTCAGACTGCAGCTCTAAACGTGTCTCAGGACAGCGGAATCTTCACGGACTTCAACTCCCAGGATTCCACGGCAGCTGACAGCCAGCAGGGAGCGCCACCGTCTGTACCGGTGCCTCCCCTTCTGCCCATGACCCCCATGACTCCCATGACCCAATGACCTGTGACTGAGAGGTAGGGATCATCCCCCAGTTACAGTAAGTGGCATACATAGTACAAATACTACATCAATATATAGTCCTTATACTACGTCTATAGTTCCTGCTGGTCTCGCCTAACTGGACTCAGACTCACCTGCTGGTCCCTCCTAACCGGACTCAGACTCACCTGCTGGTCTCGCCTAACCGGACTCAGACTCACCTGCTGGTCCCTCCTAACCGGACTCAGACTCACCTGCTGGTCTCGCCTAACCGGACTCAGACTCACCTGCTGGTCCTCCTAACCGGACTCAGACTCACCTGCTGGTCTCGCCTAACCGGACTCAGACTCACCTGCTGGTCTCCAATAACTGGACTCAGATTCACCTGCTGGTCTCCAATTACCGGACTCAGACTCACCTGCTGGTCTCCCCTAACTGGACTCAGATTCACCTGCTGGTCTCCCCTAACTGGACTCAGATTCACCTGCTGGTCTCCCTAACTGGACTCAGACTCACCTGCTGGTCTCCAATAACTAGACTCAGACTCACCTGCTGGTCTCCAATAACGGACTCAGACTCACCTGCTGGTCTCCCCTAACCGGACTCAGACTCACCTGCTGGTCTCCCCTAATTGGACTCAGACTCACCTGCTGGTCTCCCCTAACTGGACTCAGACTCACCTGCTGGTCTCCACTAACACAGATTCACTGTATATTTAAATGCCTCAAATGTGTGTGTGTGTGTGTGTGTGTGTGCGTGTGTAGAAACATTGTCTCCACAGTGAACCTCGGCTGTCCTCTGGATCTGAAGTTTATCGCCCTGCAGGCCAGAAATGCTGAATACAACCCCAAGGTGTGTGAATGTGTGATAACCTCATATTAGACCCAAGGAAGCTCCTTTACCTACACAGCTGTTTCTCGTCTGTCGTCTCATTAGAAAAATGTCCCCGTCACAGTTAGCTGCCCCGCCCGTTTTTAGCATCAGCTGTGATGCCATGATGCTTAGGGTTCACCTGTTCCCTCTTAGTTGACCTGTTGTTTGTGTAAAGAAGTTAAAGGACTTTTTTTATTCTGCCTCTCTGTGGTCAGTGGAAACACTAATGCTCATGACAGCTTTTTCTTCTTTTTTTTCAGCGTTTTGCTGCTGTCATCATGAGGATCAGAGAACCCAGAACCACAGCGCTCATCTTCAGCTCCGGGAAGATGGTCTGTACCGGAGCCAAGAGGTCTGTGTACCTGTCCACCTGTTTCTGTGTTCATGTGATGACCTGTCAGGTGACTAACCTGGCTCATCCTCTTGTGTTTCTGAGTGCGTGTAGTGAGGAGCAGTCACGGTTAGCAGCGAGGAAGTACGCTCGTGTGGTTCAGAAACTAGGCTTTCCTGCTCGCTTCCTGGACTTTAAGATCCAGAACATGGTGGCGAGCTGTGATGTGTGTTTCCCCATCAGACTGGAGGGCCTGGTCCTCACACACCAGCAGTTCAGCAGGTATGCACACCTGAGAGGTTAGCCTAGCCTTCTTGTTCTGTTAGTTTAAGGTTAGCTTGATATTCTGTTGTTCTGCTGTTGACGGTTGGTTCTGTTACATGGAGACTTTGAATATCCCCATGAGACGGTTTGGGTTTGACCACAGCCCCTCCTTGTTTTTGTGTGTGTGCGTTTGTTTGTTTTCTCAGTTATGAACCAGAGCTGTTTCCTGGTCTGATCTATCGGATGGTGAAGCCTCGCATTGTGCTGCTCATCTTTGTGTCGGGGAAAGTGGTTCTGACCGGTAACACTTCTCTGATGTCTTGGGTTGATGAACAGGGTTAGGGTTAGAATCCAGAACAGGAAGTTTAAAGGGATACGTCACCGTTGAAACATGAATCTGTATTGACATTGGGTCATATATGTAGTAGAAATGTGAAATAAATTTAATATATTTAATAAAAAACTTTAATTAAAGTTGGTGCCTTCTTGACCGAGAAAAGGCAGAAAGTGTCTTTTTGGCTCATGTGGATGAAAGACACCAAATCCAGAATGCAAAGCACAGCAGGACACTCCCACTAAGGTCAGGTTTACATAAATATTTAGCCTACTTCAACACATAAGGCTGTTTCCGCAACTGATTTCGAGATTTCTTCCAGAAGGAATCGGTATCTTGAAAATTCCTGGCAGAAAACAGACTCTATGTCTGCGTCCAAAGGCAAACAGTGAGAGCACCGACACTACCAGTCCACCCCAGCACGAGACGGCCCCCCGCTGCTCGTCCTCACCGCCGCCGATAGGCAGGCCTTATGTCTTGGCTGCTGAGCTGGCAACGGCAGCCAGCAATATAGCAATATACCAGTAGCCGCGAGACGTTGCTGCTGACAGGCTGGTTTTGCTTCTTGGCTGCTGTGGCCAGCGGCCAAGGAACTAGTGTTGTAATTTCACCCTGCTACCGCAACAGCTTCCAATGACGCAAAATTATGATTTTTGCGTCATTGGAAGCTCCTTTTCAGACTTAGAAATACGAAGATTTCCCATCTCAGGGGAAAATGAGGGCGGGATGCACGACCATTCAAAAATACTACCAGGTTTCTAATGATACAAAGCTTAATGCAAATGGGTGAAGTATCCCTTTAAAATAATGTGATTATAATGTTGAGATTTTCAAAATAAAGTGATGAATATGATTATGTTAGCTTTAAGATCCATCCACACTCGTATACAACAGAACCTTTCCTCATACATTACATGTTTAAGTTCAGGATGCGTTTATTACATTTGTTAATGCTTCTGTCCACTTCCTGTTTATATATAAAGTTGCCATGATTTTGTAGTTGTGTGTTAAATTTCAGGAGCTAAGGAGCGAGCGGAGATCTACGAAGCGTTTGAGAACATTTATCCGATCCTGAGAGGCTTCAGGAAACAGTGAGGATGGACCTCTGACATCACTTCTTGTTGTTTATATATGGTATAAATATTTACTGTTTGTTTAATTTTTTAAAACATGGAGGACGAACGAGCCGCTGTTTGTTTTAAATTCTGTCAAAGGTTTTCATCCCCAAGAAAATAAAGAGACTGATCTGTTCATGCCCTACTGATTCACATTTTAATGGAGGGGGGGGTCATATGTGATCAGGGTGGAGGCGCTGAGAGAGAGTTCCTCTGCCCCCACAGCCCAACTCTTGAGTCTTTCTGATGTTGAGCTCGAGTCAGTCTGCACCAGGTTGTTGACCCCCCCCCCCTGCTGGTATCGGGTCATAGCAGGGGGGGGGGGGTCAGTCAGGTGAGCCCCCTGGGTAGAAAGTGTCCTTCCTTCACTGTCACAGCAGAGGATGTTCGTGTCCTGTCAAAGAAGAGATGAAAAACAGCCTGGGGGAGACCTACTGTGGACCATTGAAAACACCTGTTGTGGTCTTCCGTGTAAGAAAGGTAATTAAATCACTGATTTGATGTTACCTTGTAAAGCAGCATGCTAGACTGCGTCATGTCCTGTAAACATACACACTTTGTTCTGTCTTTGTTAGACACATGTCGAAGTTCATCTTTGTTTTCATGAGTCTTTCTGTTTTTTCTCCTTAACTGTGATCCACACTGTTCCATCACTAAATGCAGAAAAGCCTCCAATCGAGAGCTATATGTCTAAACGTGTACAACACCACGCTAGAGAAAACGACTGGGCCTTAAACTGGGATGGGCTTTACTTTAACTGTAGATCTACCGCATATACTTCCACTCTGACATTTACGTAATGAATATTCGGCTCGCTCGGCCCCCGCCCACCACACGACGTCAGCACATAAACAAACCCGTCACGTTCCAGAGGAAACCGGAAGTGTCGGAGTGTGTCTGCAGATGAAAACAAAAACAGTTGCTGTGGAGCTCGTAAGAGTTTGATAATACCTGTGTCAGGTAAATGACGGACTGTTTAATACCCAGAGGATCATCATGGAGCACACACAGCGCGCTGAGTGACGTCACCCATCACCTGAAGACAGCCTGAACGTTGGATTAGCCTGTTAGCTCTGTTAGCTTAGCCCACCTCTCCATGGCGTCCTCCGCGGGACTCCCCCCTATCGGTCCCGACCGTGCGGCTTCATCCCCCGGGCCTCACTCCGCCGGGAGGCCGCCTCTCCGCCCTCATCTCTCCGCTCCGGCCCACTCCTCCCCGGGCTGCGTCTTGCTGGTGGAGTCGGTGGATGACGCGGAGGGTCTGTCGGTGGCGGTGGAGCGGTGCCCCCTGTGCAGTTCGTCCCGCCGCAGGCTCACTTGTGCCCGCTGCGTGCAGGCCGGAGACTTTGTGTACTTCGACGGCAGGAACACGGAGAGGTACCGACCACAGTTTATTATTACAGCGTGTTTCACCTCGCATACCGAACCTCACTGACATATTCTGACATTGTACCGAGTCCATCATTATTCCTAAGTCGCTCTGAATTTATCCACGAATAAACACGATCAGTTTGAAGATCATAACCGATTTTACAGGTCGGCTTATAAATATAACACATAAATCATGAGGAGACATGAATCCTCATAAGTCTTCTCTCTGTTAGTATACACCGCATGTGAGCGCCCCCCTGTGGCTGGAGGATGGAAGTGACAGTCACAGGTGTTCTGTTGTAAAGGAAGGTGTAGTGAAACAGTGATGTCCTCATGGTTGTATAAATGTATCTCACCTCACTGTCAGGTTTAGTTTTACAGCAGACAAACTCACATTTTAGTTCATTTTAACTAAAAAAAACACTTTTTATGAAGTTATGTGTTAGCTGGTGACTCACAGTTACTGTTTCTCTATTTGGCTTGTTGGCATTAGCAGCTCCTCAGATCTAATAGATACAGTAAGTTAACAGTTAGAGCTCTGACGGTCGGCTGCTGAGTCATATTGTAACCTGTTTTGCTCACTAAATTAGCCTCCCTGCTACAGTTGCACAACATGTAAAAATAACTTCTCATGTCACAGAGACGTTTCTCAAACGGTGCTGGGCGGCCCTCTAGGGGTCTCTGTCTTGAGTGCACTTAAACGTGTGTGTGTGTGTGTGTGTGTGTGTGTGTGTGTGTGTGTGTGTGTGTGTGTGTGTGTGTGTGTGTGTGTGTGTGTGTGTGTGTGTGTGTGTGTGTGTGTGTGTGTGTGTGTGTGTGTGTGTGTGTGTGTGTGTGTGTGTGTGTGTGTGTGTGTGTGTGTGTGTGTGTGTGTGTGTGTGTGTGTGTGTGTGTGTGTGTGTGTGTGTGTGTGTGTGTGTGTGTGTGTGTGTGTGTGTGTGTTGTAGATACACAGAGAAGCTGCAGCGTCTAAAGGAGCTACAGGTGGAGAAGGAGCAGCTGCAGCACAGGTAACACACCTGTCACGTTTACCTGAAGGCTGTGTTTACTCAGAGTCAAAACAGTGCATGGAGCAGAAGTGGTTACAGACGGCCGCAGGGGATGGTTTTAAATGTTTTATAATTGCATCTGGAGAGAGAAGAGAAGCACTTGTGAAACGATGGGCATTTTAGAATATAGTGTGACCACAAAAGATTATTTTCTCCTCAGAGTAGTACAGAAACCTCAGCATAGTTTTTCAGGTGAGCCCAAACGTTTTCCTTACAACCAGACCTACAGCATGCACACATATCTATTCAGAGAGGAACTCTAGCTCAAAATGCATTCATGCTCTCAGACATCAATACTTTAAAGGCAAGAGCTTAAAACTATTAATGACAACAGGAGGAGGAAAATAAACATTTTAATCTACTAGGGTGAAAGCTAACTAAGTACAAAGATGTCAATAAATATAAAAGTAGGTTTTGTGTCCCAAACAAAATAAGAACAAAAGAAGAAGTGTATTTCTTACACTGGCTATTTTCTTAACATGAATAATCTTCACCTAATAAAAGTACAGTGGAAATAACTGATGTTAATTCAAGGTAGGAAACACTGACGTTACTATCATCGATCATAACAAGCTAGCTTAAATAAAACAGATAAATAGATCTGTGCAGCACGTTACCTCTGTGTCTTTTTCACATTTTTCATCCTCTTCTTCTTTTTTGTCCCTGGGCTCCCGAGGGCTTTGTTGTTGTTTACATTACGGTCATTTATAAACGTGATATTAATCCGTACGGTCAGTGTCTCTCACTTCTAATAAGTCACCTGCCCTCCTCCTCCACACCGAGCAGGTAACGAGCAGCTGTGTTGTGATGCGCTGGGTCAAGCAGGAGACAAGAAAATAGAGCCTTTTTAAATGTGATTTCATGGCTTCTTTTGTATCATTACTAAATGATAGTATGAAAATTATATTAGATAAATAATATTTAATGATATTTAAACGCATTTTCCCTTCTATTTCTTCTTCTTATCTTCAACTTTTCGGCCGCACTCATATGGGGCGCCAGTGGCGCCCCTAGCAATTGCCTATACTGCCTATGCCACGGACCGGCCCTGTGTTTACTCACAACATCAGAATTTAAAACTATGGTACAATTTTAATAGAGCTCAACAGTGACCCCCCACTTTATCGTTGGCTCTAGTTCATGAAGTAAATTTCCCTATTCAAATTCTCTATGAAATTCTCACAAAATCCTTATAGGCCTATTCAGAGATTGGCGCCTGAAACCAAGACAGCCAGCTACCCAAATAGTCATGTCTATAGTGTTTTTACTTCCGGTACCACACTGTTGAGCTCTATAACAATCAAATTAAACCCATACGGGTTTATAACCATGGCAACAGACCTAGCAGTCCTAGACACTTGATGCAGAACTCCTGCACACTGTTTAAAATGCACTAATTAAACCGGGCAGAGATGTTGCCAATGGATTGGACAGTTCAGGCAGGTGTATGAGTAGGAGTTATTTACACACCTGTCTGATAAACACACATGGTATCAAAGACTATCAAAGTATTGAAAATGTGTTTAATGTGTATTAAAAGTGTGTGTGTTTCGTCCCCTCAGAGTGATTCACCACATGGACAGGAAGCTGCAGGCCGACCACATGGTCAGTTCACTTTTTTGAACTCCAACAGGAACACAGACGGACATCTTTAGAATTTCAATATTGAACTGTGATAATCACAATGTGAACGTGTGTGTGTGTGTGTGGTCACAATCAGCTGATCTCAGGTCAGCTCTCTTCATAACAAACCGCTAATCTCTTCTCAGAAATGGAAGATCATGTCTTGTAAGATGAAGATTGAGCAGCTGAAGGAGGCGGTCGCCGTGGGCAACGAGGAGGAAAAGAGCGGTGAGTCTGCAGAAAATACTTTTATTCTGAAAGTAAGGAAGTCACATAATTCGTGAACTCGATAGGAAGTTTGTTAATTATCCTCCAACAGAAAAACTCGATCATATTGAGCCCAGAAACTACATCTCTCCTCCTCCTCCTCTCTTTTACGGTCTATTAATGCTCTGTTTGTTGAGAACAGTAGAAGAAGAACAGATGTAACAGTAGAAGAAGAACAGATGTAACAGCAGAAGAAGAACAGAGGGGTCAGCATGTTTAAAGAACCTCTCTTCTCATCCCCTGCAGATAAGGAGCTGCTCCTGCGCTCCCAGGAGGAGTGTCAGCGGCTGCAGCGGCGTGCGGGCCGTCACCAGGAGAAACGGGATAAAATCGAGCGTCACAACCGTCGTCTTGGAGACCTGCTGGAACGACGCAGCCGGGAGCTGCAGAGCCGCCTGACTCAGCTCGCTGCTCTGAGACGAGAACACATCCAGGAGCTCAGCACACACATGTTCCCCCTGCAGGAGGAGAAGCAGGAGCGCAGGTAACACACATAAACACACAGACACACACTGTAGCGAGTGATTTTAGCCACAGATTGTGCTTTTGGGTTGGACGTGGCTCAAATCCCTCGCCATTGTGTTTGCGAGAGACACACACGCGGACAGAATGTGTGTCACACCTTCCAAGGTTGTCGTTGATGGGGGCAACCAGAAACATAATGTTCCTAAGATAGACAAATGATCAAAGTATTCACCTGTCTTCTGCCCTTGCGTCTTTCCCTCAGAGACCCCGCAGATGTGGTTGCAGAGTGTGACCCTGCACTGACCTCCAGCACGGTAAGCGAGCTGGCTGAGGCTCGTAGGACCACCTACCTTTCAGGACGCTGGATCTGGGATGACCAGAATGGAGAAACCAGCATCAGCATCACTGGACCCCCTGTCAGCCTGCCCAGCAACGGAGACTGCTCTGCCTACTACACCTGGGTGGAGGAGAAAAGCACCAATCAGGGTCCAGGTGAATTTTTTTTGATACTTAAGGGTAACCTTTTGGAGCTTGAAGTGACCATATTTGGAGGAGTGGGAGGATCCCCAGGGCGGTTAAAGGTCAGTTTATGAATTAGCTCAGGTGACACTTAGCAGACAGCTAGCAGCTCCCACCTGCTACTCAAAGAGGCCACACCCCCTAATTCTACATTGACACTGGAGGAACTGCAGCTGTAACATGGGACTCTATGGGGACTGACTCACTGCAGGAGACAGACTCTAGTGGACACTGGAGGAACTGCAGCTGTAAAGTTGGACATTTTAACATGGGGCTCTATGGAGACTGACTCACTGCAGGAGACAGGCTAAAGACTTATTTTTAGGCTTTTCAAGCCTTTATTTATTTAGATGTGACAGTGAATAGAGTCAGAAATCAGGGAGAGAGAGTGGGGAGGACCACAGCCTCCGTATATGGGCTGAGCACTAACCAATACCAGCGCCCCAGGAGACAGCCTTTGTAGGACACTGGAGGAACTGCATGTTTTGTTACTTTGATGTTGTATGTGTCAGTCAGAGGGTGCATCTGAATGGCGAAGTGCCTACACAATCTTTCAGTAAACAGTAGTTTAGTTTAATCATTTATTTGAATCAGGGACAGTGTACCAAAAAACCCATTAATCTCAGAAGAGAAGAGATGCTTTGTACCAGATTTAGCTAACTAGCTAATTTCCATCTGTTGTACCTGGGCAGATGATGGTAACAGTAAAATACAGATCAACCAGTCACACACACACACACTTCATAAGAGAGAAGAAAGACATACAACAATATACATATATTAAAACATTATGTACAAGGTTCTCTGAGATGTAAAAGGTTGTCGAGATGACACATTAATGCTGACAAGACTGGTTACTTAAAATCCATTTTAGACAGGCCCTACTATCCGTGCTGTATACTCTGCTCAGTAAGCAGATATTTGTTCCTACTTCATCTCATTCATTCGGTGAGGAAGTGGCATCATTTACGTTACCCGAGACGGCCGCATCCACCTGTTTTTTTTTTTTTGTTTATCTTTATTCAAGAAGAGTAATGCTCATATACAGTCAGGTAAACAAAAACAATATCACAATGAAAACCAACTAAAAGATTAAATAATAAAATAACATGCAGTACATAAAGGAAAGTACAAATGAAAGACAGAAATATACAGTAAAATAAACCAATAAAGACACAGACATAAAGAATAAAATTAAATAGAGGGGGAAAGGTTTTATAATAACTCAAACATTTGTTACATTTTCTGTTGTTAATTAAAAGTAGTGATTTCAGTCAGACTTTAACTCTAGATTAAAAGATGATTCAGTTAATCTGTCCTTGTTTGTTTTGATTTGGAGGCGCACGTGAAGTGACGTTTTACGTTTAACTTCGCACAGCATTGTGGGAATTAAAATACAACCAAACCGTACTGCACAAAACCAGGAAGTTAGTATCCATGCTGATATGTACAGAATACTGAGGCGGACCCACAAAATGACCACTGAACGACAACGAGGGTTCAGTCTACTGAATGACCACAAGAGTTCAGACTATTGAATGACCACGAGGGTTCAGACTACTGAACGACCATGAGGGTTCAGAATGACCACGAGGGTTCAGTCTGCTGAATGACCACGAGGGTTCAGTCTGCTGAACGACCACGAGGGTTCAGACTAATGAATGACCATGAGGGTTCAGAATGACCACGAGGGTTCAGAATAGTGAACGACCACGAGGGTTCAGAATAGCGAACAACCACAAGGGTTCAGACTACTGAATGACCACGAAGGTCAACTGAATGACCACAAGGGTTTAGACTACTGAATGACCATGAGGGTTCAGAATGACCACGAGGGTTCAGAATAGTGAACGACCACAAGGGTTCAGACTACTGAATGACCAAGAGGGTTCAGACTACTGAACGACCACGAGGGTTCAGAATGACCACGAGGGTTCAGACTACTGAATGTCCACGAGGGTCTACTGAATGACCACGAGGGTTCAGTCTACTGAATGACCACGAGGGTTCAGAATGACCATGAGGGGGTTCAGAATGACCACGGGGGTTCAGACTACTGAACGACCTTGATGGTTCAGACTGCTGAACGACCACAAGGGTTCAGAATGACCACGAGGGATCAGACTATTGAATGACCACAAGGGTTCAGACTACTGAAGGACCACGAGGGTTCAGACTACTGAATGTCCACGAGGGTCTACTGAATGACCACAAGGGTTCAGTCTACTGAATGACCATGAGGGTTCAGAATGACCACGAGGGTTCAGAATGACCATGAGGGTGTACTGAATGACAAGGAGGGTTCAGACTACTGAACAACCACGAGGGTTCAGAATAACCACGGGGGTTCAGACTACTGAACGACCATGATGGTTCAGACTGCTGAACGACCACAAGGGTTCAGAATGACCACGAGGGATCAGACTACTGAATGACCACGATGGCTCGGACTGCTGAACGACCACAAGGGTTCAGTCTACTGAATGACCATGAGGGTTCAGAATGACCACGAGGGTTCAGTCTACTGAATGACCACGAGGGTTCAGACTACTGAATGACCACAAGGGTTCAGACTACTGAATGACCACAAGGGTCTATTGAATGACAAGGAGGGTTCAGACGACTGAATGACCATGAGGGTTCAGAATGACCACGAGGGTTCAGACTACTGAATGACCACGAGGGTTCAGACTACTGAATGACCACAAGGGTTCAGACTACTGAATGACCACAAGGGTCTATTGAATGACAAGGAGGGTTCAGACGACTGAACGACCACGAGGGTTCAGAATGACAACGGGGGTTCAGACTACTGAATGACCAAGAGGGTCTACTGAATGACCACGAGGGTTCAGAATACTGAACAACCACAAGGGTTCAGACTACTGAATGACCACGAAGGTTCAGACTACTGAATGACCACGAGGGTTCAGACTACTGAATGACCACGAAGGTTCAGAATACTGAACAACCACAAGGGTTCAGACTACTGAAGGACCACGAGGGTTCAGACTACTGAATGACCATGAGGGTTCAGAATGACCACGAGGGTTCAGTCTACTGAATGACCACGAGGGTTCAGACTACTGAATGACCAAGAGGGTCTACTGAATGACCACGAAGGTTCAGACTATTGAATGACCACGAAGGATCAGACTACTGAATGACCACGAGGGTTCAGACTGCTAAACAACCACAAGGGTTCAGTCTACTGAATGACCATGAGGGTTCAGACTACTGAATGACCACTAGGGTCTACTGAATGACAAGGAGGGTTCAGACTACTGAATGACCACAAGGGTTCAGAATGACCACAGGGGTTCAGACTACTGAATGACCAAGAGGGTCTACTGAATGACCAAGAGGGTCTACTGAATGACCACGAGGGTTCAGAATACTGAACGACCACAAGGGTTTAGACTACTGAATGACCACGAAGGTTCAGACTACTGAATGACAACAATGGTTCAGAATGACCACAAGGGTTCAGTCTACTGAATGACCACAAGGGTTCAGACTGCTGAGCGACCACAAGGGTTCAGTCTACTGAATGACCACGAGGGTTCAGAATGACCACGAGGGTTCAGACTACTGAATGACCATGAGGGTTCAGAATGACCACGAGGGTTCAGACTACTGAATGACCATGAGGGTCTACTGAATGACCACGGGGGTTCAGAATACTGAACGACCACAAGGGTTCAGTCTACTGAATGACCACGAGGGTTCAGAATACTGAAAGACCACGAGGGTTCAGACTACTGAATGATAGGGCTGTTGAAATTAATCGATTCATCACGATGCAGACTAGATGATTGATGCATCGATGCAGGGACAGGACGTAATCGACGCTGAAGAAGGGTGGAAAAAAGCATCTGCCAACTGCTAAATGCGGTTGTTTTGCATTGTGTTGAGTGAGTTTGTTTTACCTAAACACACAGGGTGGTGTGTAATGAAAGTAACGTAGGCTAACAGAGGGATTTGTGACAGAAAACAACGTAAATTGAGTCCCGCTCCTGTGCTTGCTGACTTTATGAGCAGAGTCAGTTCGTCCTGCATGCTCAGACCACAGTGCTCCACTGAAACGGCTTGACTCTGTGTCTCTTTAGCTGACCGCAGCATGGATTAGCATCTTCATCACAGCTAAAGGTGTTTTTAAACTGATGCCTCTCTGTCTTAAGTCCAGGATAACTAAAAGAAGGGGCTGTGGCGGTGACTCGTGAGCGGCTGTAAACACAGTTGACTCCTGACACAGCGTCATCGAGAATCACCGCTAATAAGTGCACCTTCGCTAAAGCTGCATTCGTTCGATGATAAACACATTTTATTTCCGACAAGTTCTTCAAAATAAAAGTCCCCGGCCTATCTGAAGTTGAAGTGCATGTGAAACATCCATATCAGGAAATGGGGTGTTTACAGCAGTAGCAACTTAACAAAACTCGTCTGAAATAAAAAGGACAGAAACAAAACTGACCCTGTACAAAGCTCACAGCTAAAGGCTACAATGTCCTGAGAAGGGATCACACAGTGACTTAAAAACATCTTTCTTTTGTACAATAAAATAAACACACAGTGACTTAAAAACATCTTTCTCTTGTATAATAAACTAAACACACAAACACTTATACTTTTTACCTATACTGTAGGCTACCTATATAATGTAATTAATTTTAACTTACAATGTAAAGATATTATTAATGACATTGTTGTCGAAATCCCTTTTTAAATTACACAAAAGAAGTTCATATTTATAAGACTGTCTCTGTTTCTGAAAAAGTAGCCATGTGCAGTAATATAGAAAATTAAGGATGACTCTTGATGCATCGTGATATTGAATCGAATCGAATCGTTGACTGGATAATCATAATTGAATCGAATCGTAAGACCAGTGAAGATGCAAAGCTCTACTGAATGACCACAAGGGTCTACTGAATGACAAGGAGGGTTCAGACTACTGAACGACCACGACGGTTTTAGAATGACCATGAGTGTTCAGACTACTGAATGACCATGAGTGTTCGGACTACTGAATGACCACGAAGGTTCAGACTACTGAATGACCACGAGGGTTCAGACTACTGAATGACCACGAGGGTTCAGACTACTGAATGACCGTGAGGGTTCAGACTACGGAATGACCACGAGGGTTCAGAATGACCACAAGGGTTCAGACTACTGAATGACCACGAGGGTTCTGAATGACCATGAGGGTTCAGACTACTGAAAGACCACGAGGGTTCAGAATGACCACAAGGGTTCAGACTACTGAATGACCAAGAGGGTTCAGACTACTGAATGACCGTGAGGGTTCAGACTACGGAATGACCACGAGGGTTCAGAATGACCACAAGGGTTCAGACTACTGAATGACCTCAAGGGTTCAGAATGACCTCAAGGGTTCAGAATGACCACAAGGGTTCAGACTACTGAATGACCACAAGGGTTCTGAATGACCACAAGGGTTCAGACTACTGAATGACCAAGAGGGTTCAGACTACTGAAAGACCACGAGGGTTCAGAATAACCACGAGGGTTCAGACTACTGAATGACCATGAAGGTTCAGACTACTGAACGACCACTAGGGTTCAGAATGACCACGAGGGTTCAGACTACTGAATGACCACGAAGGTTCAGACTACTGAATGACCACGAGGGTTCAGACTACTGAATGACCACGAGGGTTCAGAATGACCTCAAGGGTTCAGAATGACCACAAGGGTTCAGACTACTGAATGACCACAAGGGTTCTGAATGACCATGAGGGTTCAGACTACTGAAAGACCACGAGGGTTCAGAATGACCACGAGGGTTCAGAATGACCACGAGGGTTCTGAATGACCACGAGGGTTCAGACTACTGAATGACCACGAAGGTTCAGACTACTGAACGACCACTAGGGTTCAGAATGACCACGAGGGTTCAGACTACTGAATGACCACGAGGGTTCAGAATGACCACGAGGGTTCAGAATGACAACAAGGGTTCAGACTACTGAATGACCATGAAGGTTCAGAATGACAACAAGGGTTCAGACTACTGAATGACCGCGAGGGTTCAGAATGAGCACGAGGGTTCAGAATGACCACAAGGGTTCAGACCGCTGAATGACCACGAGGGTTCAGAATGACCACAAGGGTTCAGACTACTGAATGACCACGAGGGTTCAGACTACTGAATGACCACGAGGGTTCAGAATGACCACAAGGGTTCAGACTACTGAATGACCACGAGGGTTCAGTCTCCTGAACAACCACGAGAGTTCAGAATGACCACGAGGGTTCAGAATGACCACAAGGGTTCAGTCTACTGAATGACCATGAGGGTTCAGTCTACTGAACAACCACAAGAGTTCAGAATGACCACGAGGGTTCAGTCCACGGAATTACCACAAGGGTTCAGTCTACTGAACGACCACGAGGGTTCTGAATGACCACGAGGGTTCAAACTACTGAATGACCACAAGGGTTCAGACTACTGAATGACCACGAGGGGTCCGCACTGCATACTGAACTGTGGCTGTTCGGAAAGGGCCCGTGTCTCTGCGGCGGCCATATTGAAGAGATCTGCTGAATGTTTTTTGAATGTTAAATGTTTTCCTGCTTGGTCGTCCTCGGCCAATCACATGCCTGCTTTGGATCATTGTTTTAGACTGACCTGTTGACCTTTGACCCCCTGTGTGCTGCAGAGTTGGACCACATTAACCCAGCTCACACCATCAGCGCCGCTCTCTGCTACGCCACGCAGCTTGTCACCATCTTGTCTCATATCCTGGACATCAACCTGCCCAAGAAGCTCTGCAACAGGTGAGACAGGAAACACCTGCTGCTGCCTTCACAGACACAGCAAAGTTAGGAAAACACAGCGTCACATTCATGTCTGTGTTTGTTCCTCAGTGAGTTCTGTGGAGAGAACCTGAGCAGGTACCGCTTCACCCGAGCTCTGAGCAAGCTCAACACCAACATCCTGCACTTGTGCTTCTCTCAGGTAAGACACGCCCATCTCAGGGAAGACACCCCCCTCTCAGCTGACATGATTTCAACTCCTTTTTTTTTTTTTGTATTCAGCATGTCGACAGTGAGAAGCTCCATCCACATCACACTCTAAGGAACATCATGTTTCTGGTTGCCCCCGACAACGACAACCTGGGCAGGTGTGTGTGTGTGCGCGTGTGTGCGTGTGTGTGTGTGTGTGTAAAATGTAAATATGTGACTTAAGCTGATTGATTTATCCAGGACGGGACCATTCGAGGTGAGTGCTGACCTGGAGGAGTCGATGGAGTTTGTGGAGCCAGAGGCGGCAGGGCCAGCCGAGGAGAGCGGGGATGAGGTTGTGACGGACGAGGAGACGGACCTGGGGACCGACTGGGAGACCGTGCCGAGTCCACGATTCTGTGACATCCCTTCACAGGTAAATCTTGCGCTGTGTGTGAGCAGCTCTCCACGGTGTGATAAGTTTGAGGATGAGGATTAGTTGAGGGTTGACCGGTTGTCATGGTGATAGTGTTTACCGGTTGTCTCCCCTTCCCCCCCAGTCCCCCGCTGGCCTTGAGGGCGGTCACACTTCTACAAGACAAACCGGGCCTGAGCACGGTTACTTCCTGAACATAGTTTCATAATACAGCTCATGCATGCATTGTTATTATGAAGCGTGTTTACAAACAGACGGACTCGAGGAAAAAAAACTAAAAAGGGACGCACGGTCGAGTCTCCGTCCGCACATCAGAGAACATGACAGCTATTTCATGTCTTTATTCTGAGTCATGTTAGTCAGATACAGACTGAAGGCTGTCAGCGTTGTGTAACCGCATGCTTGTCCTCGTGCATGAAGTGTACCGTGATGAAGAACACCTCTCTGAAGCGTGCCAGGACCGAGGAAGTATACCGAGCCACGGAGCGCTCACACTGGTCAAACGAGCTGGACTTTACGATGAACGTCAGTGAACAGAAGTTATTTTAGACGATCGTCTGTTCAGAGACGATCATACACGAGAGGAGACAAACACTGCTGTCTGATTGGTCACATCCAGGTCAAACCTCCTTAATGACTCAAGGTTTTGGTTAGTTTGTACATCATGCTCCTCTAGTTAAGATGACCCTTACGTCTCCATGGTAACCAAACAATGGTAAAATATAGTTTAGTGAGGACTTACGACACAGTTCACACACAGCTGCTGACACAGGAAGCTGATTTTAAATCAAGTTTTATTCAAAATAACTCTTAAAATAACCACCAAAGATGATACATCTGTACAACCATAACTTCCTGCTCTTGCCTCTTTTCCTCCTCCTCCCTGTCCTCTTCTTCCCCTCCTCTCTATCCTCCTCCGCCACAGTCCATGGATCTTTCCCAGAGTGCTTTGCAGGTGTCCCAGCCCTCTGCTAACACCGGAGGTATGATATCATCAGCTGCAGCCTCTGTCACTTCCTGGTTCCGAGCATACACCGGGCAGCGCTGATTGGACTGAGCCTGACCAGGACCAGGGCAGGACATGGACTGGACCGGACAAGGACAGTCCACTAACTGAGAGGAAGTTAATGTGAGCAATCAAACAGAGACACCTGAAGGCAGCATGATGCATTTAAAGACACAGCAATAAAGATCAATGAAGCAGAACCAGCCAATTGCAGTGCTTCGTTTCACACATGTTCACGCCTCTAAAAACGTTATTTACACATTTAACAGGAAAAAACCTTAAGGTCTTTACTTCAAACATCATCGTGTGTGTGTTGGCGCTAACTCAAAGATCATCTTGGAGAGAAGATGCTCCACTCGGTTATAAAACTGTAAATCCACAGAGTTTTGTAGTCCAGAAGACTGTGACCGCCTCTGTATAGAAGATCTCTGTTTTTTTTTAATGAAAAGTTCAGTTTTGTAGTTGTTAATCAAAGCCTTGATTGGATCAGGAAAAAATTAATTAACAATCTGTTCGAGGATGATGATGTCATCTTCAGAGATCTTAAAAATCAGCTGCGATAAATCAAATATGTTTTTATCTCATTATAACATGTTCATATTTATAAAGGTTGTTATTATGGTCTGTCTGTCTGTCTGTCTGTCTGTCGGTCTGTCTGCTCGGTCTAAAGGGAATCTTTCTGATTTTAAGTATAATTTAGTTTTTATTTGTTGTGTTGTCAGGAGCATTGATGGGCCTAGTGATAAACAACGGTCGCCATGGTGATTGACCATGGTTGCCAATGTGATAACAAACACTGTTTACAAACATGAACTTTGAGAGATGATGACACCTGAATCCAACCAGGACCACAGACGGAACCCGTCTGAGATACTGGGAGGACCTTAAAGTAGGACATGGACCAGTCTGGGCAAGTTTGGATTAGTTAAACCAGTTTGGACCAGTTTGGATTGGTTTGGATCAGTTGCACCAGTTTGGATCAGTTGCACCAGTTTGGACCGGTTTGGATCAGTTGAACCAGTTTGGACTGGTTTGATCTGGTAAACCAGTTGAGCCAGTTCAACCAGTCGAAACAGTGTAACATGGGACTCTCGACAATGACATTTCCGTTTCTTTTTCTTTTTAAATGAAAAGTTTTAATTTGAAATAACTTTCATGTTTTTGACCTTTCAAAATAAACTTTGAGCTGTGTTTGAGGTGATTAATGTAATAAAGGCTCACTTTCTGTTGTTCCTGTTTCTTACCCCCCCCCCCCCCCCCCCCCAAACAGACATACAGTGGTCGTGCATGTGAGTGTGCACGTGAGAGCAGAGAGGTCTTTTTGTTCAGTGTGTGAGCTGCAGATTAACATGTTAGCTATGTTTGGTATGCTGCTGATCCCTTTAGAGAAACATGTAGGAACCCTTGCAGTCACACTGGTCTGGACCATTGTAGAGGTGTCAGATATAAACTGGTCCTAAGCATTTTAAAAACTTTGAAACCTGTCTGTTATTTGAATGATTGATCATATTAAATACTATTGAAGCATTAAATTAGGGCTAGGGTCAGGAAGAGAGCCAACCTATGCCTACAGATTAGAATAATGTAGACAGTGTGCAATAAAAACAATAATATCATCAATATCCAGAGTCTCACACTTCTATTTGTGTTGTCGTGGTATCTTCTGAATTTACTATTCTTGTCAAAGTGTAAATTCTCGTATCCTGACTACTGCATGGAGTATTGTACAGTTTGAACATTAGAGGACCAAGAAAGGATCTCTGTGGAACTCAATGTTCCAGTCTGAAGAAGCAGCAAAGTTGGTCGTATGTTTGAGTGTATGACCACCAGTGTTTGATCACTGATCAGTCAAAAGACATCTCTCCATTACAGAGTTTGTCCACCAGTGAGCACTGACATGTTAATGTTTACACTGGAAAAACCCTGAGTCTTCATCAACAGTTTGACACTAGCAGCCAATGTTACTTAAGTAAGTTAAGATGTCTCACTTAGACCCAAATTTACTGAACCAACAAACTGACCATTTCCTGTGAGTGAACACATTGATCCCTACTAAAGGTTTCCCTGCAGCTTTCATCAGGATTAGTGTGTGTGTGTGTGTATATAAGCTGTTGAATCTTGTTCAGACTAGTTTGGTGTCAGGATGGAGGCTGTGTTTCTGCTGCTGTTCCTCTGTTTGTCTCCAGTGGTTGGTCAGGGTCAGGTGGAGGTTT